GGAAATAGAAGGAGCATTCCCCAACATAATAAAGGGCAGATATAAGAGACCTACAGCCAACATTATACTCAATGGGAAAAAACTGAAAGCTTTTCCACTAAGATCAGGAACAAGACAAGGTTGTCCACTTTCACCACTTCTATTCAATATAGTATTGGAAGTCTTAGCCACAGCAATCAGACAACAAAAGGAAATAAAAGGCATCCAAATCAGAAAGGAGGAAACAAAACTGTCATGGTTTGCAGATGACATGCTAGTGTACATAGAAAACCCTATAGACTCCATTCAAAAACTGCTTGACCTAATAAATGAATTTGGCAAAACATCAGGATACAAAGTCAATATCCAGAAATCAAAGGCATTTTTGTATCACTGACCAGCGAGAACACTTCTTCCTGGAGACTCACACTCTCAGGGAACCATCTCATCCTTTCTGAAAAACCCTTATGTGTTCCCATAGCATATGAAATACTGAGGCATGAATTTTCTTTTTTAGTGCATAATTTATTGTTGGAACTTGTTTCCGCTGCCCACTGTCATTCTCTGTGAGTTCTTGGAGTGGTGTTTGATTACATACGGAATTTTTTTTCCTATAAGCAATGCATTGAAGTGTCAGGTTGTCCAAATCTATTTACTACATCATCCCCCACAATATCTTAGGGGGAGGTAAAAAATTCAGCTTCAGAGAGTTAAAACAATAGAATTACATAAAATAAGTAGAACTAGCTACATTAAGGAAAGAAACCACCTTGTTTCTCTTTGTTTGTTTAATTTGGACTTAGGAGCACAGAATTAAATTAATCAGAACCCTTGATTCAAGACACATACACTTCATTGATCCACAAGTGGCCTGTTCCTTAATGTGTTCAATAATAAAACAATAATAATCCATCAGCCAACATAAGATCTAAAACTTGACAAAACTTACATCTTCCTAATCCATTCCACCCTGATGCCTGACCTGCCACTGAATTTATTCATGATCTTGGCTCTTGGGTTTTTCACTCTCTTGCTTTGTTAAAATATAGACAACTTCAACACTTAAACTTACATATATGACCTTTAAATATAGACATATGTATCTATATATAGTTAAAATATACTTTTATCACATATGTACTCTTTGATATACATATATATTAGTATATAGTATGTATATATGTGTGTATGTATATAGAAAAGAGTAAGTTTAGTTTTAGGTGTTTTTCACTTGATATAAAAGGCTGTTGTGCTATAAATAAATGTTTCTGGGACTTATTATTTATTTACTAATATATCTCTAAGATTTATCTATAGTATTGCATGCAGATATAATTTTTTTCATTTCTACCCCTGTATAAGATTCCACTGTATTATTACCCCTCAGTTTATGTACCCATTCTCTTGTCTGTGGGTATTTGGGTTATTTCTATGTAGGTTTTTTTCCTGCTCTGTGTTATGGAAATTTTTTAACATATACAAAAATAAAGAGAATGGTATAAGGAATCCCCACACACCAATCATTAGTGTTAATACCTGACCAATTTTATTTCATATATACTCCCACCCAGCACTGGATTATTTTTAAACAAATCTTAACTATCATCCATAAATATTTTTGTATGCCTCTTAGAAAAATAACTCTGCTTTCAAAATGTAACAATCTCACTATCACACACATTCCTTGATATTATCACAAATCCAGTGTTCAAAATTCTCCAAGGTTCTCTACTTTTTCTAATAGCATATGAGTTGTAGAGGTGAAGAAATATGTAATAGGTGCAGTCAAAGAGCACTAGAAATTTGTTATAACCATATAAATTGTGTAAAACAATACAGAATTTTCCCTTAACATTTAAATACTTCAGTCTCACATTCTTGATAACTATAATTTATCCTTGATGCACAATTTTTTTTATCATCAGGGCAGGAATTTTCACTAAACTATTATTTCCTAAGATTAATTCCTACAAGTGCCATTACTGGGCATCTCTATGACCCTTACAGTGGTGTTCTGGAGACAGAGCTCACTTGTGGCATTAGCCAATTTTTTTGGTGTAAATACTTCCATAATGGCCAATTTTAATCTACCAACATGATATCCCTGAACAGATTTGGGAAGAAATGCCAGCCACACTTGGCTCTTGCAAGAAGGTGCAAGCTGGGCCCAGAACCCCACTGGTTTGACACATGTTGCCTTTTTACTTCCCAGTACCAAATTATAAATGGGATTACAGGGTGTGAGAGTGACTGTTTTGAAATGACCTTGATAACACATTTTAAAATTTAATGGTGTGTGACCTTTTGTATCTCAGTGTTACTTTAATTTACATCTATGATTATTATCGAAATAGATCATTCTCCATGGTTTGTTATGTGTATTTCTCCTGCAAATTTCTTACTCATGCTCTTTCATTTATTGGAATTATAATGCTTTTTTTTAAACTGTAAATAACTCGTATGAAGGACCCATGGACAAAGCCAAAGGTGGGCAGAACTGAGGGTGGGAGGTGGATGTTGGTGGAGGTTGGTGGGGCAGAGGAAAGTGGTGGTGGAAAAATGGAGACAATTGTGTTCAAACATTAATAAAAATTATTAAAAACATAATAAACTGTAAATAACTCTATATGCCATAGTTACTAATTCCTTGAATCTGACTGACACAATTTTCTTTACATTTTGCTTTTACAATATTATTTTGTCATGAAGAAATTGTGATATCATCAAATTTGTCGATCTTTATTGACAAATAATCTTCATCACTCTACTGATTCTTTCATTGGTAGTGAATGCAAGAGAATTCGTCCTGGTTTCATTTGTCCCACAAATATTTATTACATGCCCAGTATATGGCAGGCATGATTCAAGGTACTGATGATACAGCCATGACCAAAACAACATTTCTGTCCTCATGAAGCTCACATTCCAGTAGGGAAAGCAGATAAAAATGAAGCAAGCAAATATTTAAGAAAGTTCCTGGTGGCAACCAAGTAGGTGGAAGCTCAGTCCACTTGCTCTTGCTCCTAACTCAGATTTTTGGCTGATCTTCTAATCATTAACCTTAACAATCAATGGAATCTTAGCTGATAGGAAGTTTTGAAGCCAAGAAATATAGAAGATGCTTCATATCATCTGGTAAAGGGATTTTATAAGCTGAAGGGGAAATATCCTGTATGTGGCACCTGCAGCAGCAGAGACCAGACAGAAACTAGAGCTTTGTAGCGCCTTCCCTTTTCAGAGTAGGGTGCCTCAGTCTCACACAAGGATCCCCAACCCTAGTCTGGGGTGACTTGGAAGGATATACAGAGTCTGGGAGACCCAGGCTATACACACACAGTGATCAGCACAACAAGTGTAGCACCAACCTGGAGAGTTCCAGCTATGGACTCAATCTCCTAAATAGAACAGGTTGTGAGACCTGGATTTGTCAGAGGCACCTGCAGTCTGCAGTCAGTTGTGACCCTGAGAGACATTTTGCTTGTGGGGGAAGTGGTATGCTTGGAGAACCAGACAGTGACTTGTTCTGTCATGTGAGTACTGCACAGGGACTTTTTAAAGAGGGGTTGAAATGTGGCAGGGCAAGGACCCTGCATGCAGTTGCTCTGCCAACAAAGAAACAAGATTGAAAATGCAGTTATGGAGAGAAATCTAGAAGAATGGGAAAAGTGCTTCTTTTGGACTTACTCTGAACCTCTCTCAGCTGTGCCAAGCTACACTGCATTTACGGGTTCTTTCCTACTGAGACCAGCTGGGCAGAGATCAGAGACTTGTGCAACACATGGGGAGGCCAGAATAGAGACCTTGCTGAGTGGACTGGGGAAGAAAACTAGTTTCCCCAGTATCAAGTTTGCAAGAAGGGCCCTGCCCTGCCCCCTGCCCCAGCACAAGCTAATCAGCTGCTGTGGATACAGCTGTGGAGAGGAACCTTGCAGAATGGGAAAAGTGCTTTTTTATATATTCTGAACTTCTCTCAACCACACCAAGCCATGCTAGCTCTCCAAATCCATTCCCACTGATCCATAGGGCAGGGAGTTCAGAAAGCTGTGCAATTAGGGGTGCACTGGGGCCCTCCTAGTGCAGCTAGCAAGCAATTGGGGTGGGATGGGGAAGGGGGGCTACACAGAACAGAGAGATCTGGAGTGTGTCTCATGCAAATGTAGTGGGCTAGAATTTAGACAGGTAAGAGTTGAGCACCTGAGAGTCTTTGCTGTCAGGCAGACCCCTCATGCCACCTACAGAGTATAAATCATTTCCACAAGGGAAAGAAAAAAATCCAAAAGGTGCTTTTCTGAACCTTTGTCGGCCTATCAAGCCAAGCTGGTTCCCTGAGTCTTATTCCACTGAAACCACCTGGGCAAATAGATCAGAAATTGGTGTGACAAGGGTATTTAGGGCCGTGCTCAGCCTCAACTCTTTTACAGAGCTGCCATCAGTGCAAAGCAAGAAAGAGCTGACCCTTTTACACAGATTGGCCCTTCACATTAAGTAGGCAGCTAACTCATCAGCAACTATACATTACTGGAAGTAATCTGGGACAGACCAAGATGTGTGGCACGGGTGTGGCAGAACATACCCAACACCTTCTCTGAAGTCTGAATACAGCCTTCCGAGGGAGATCTAGGGGTGTCATCCTCCAGATGACACCAGAAGCCCTCTCAGAAACAGACAGTTCAGTGGAGAGGATAAAATTAACTGCAAGACCACAGAGAGAGGCAGATGGACATGCTACCTGCAGTGCTTTCAGATGTTAGATGAGTTACCCCTGGGTCTTGTGCTGAGAAAAAGACAGCAGCGCAGGGCAGTGAGGTCCATCCTGGATGCAGCCAGGCCTGAAGGAGGCATCCACAGACTGTGGATGACTTATAGCCTCAAACAGACTGTCTAGAGCTAGAAGAGCACAACATCGGACATTACCAGAGATATACCCAGAAGGAGAGTCTAGCAGGCCAGCCATAAACTCTGCTGAGACCAGTACCTCCTCATTCTTTTTCATTAGTTGCATTATTTTTTCTTTCACATACCTTTTTAGCATGTCTTTTTCTTCAAGTTTGTTCCAATTTTTTTCACTATTTTTTTATTTCAAATCTCATATCTTACTCTTCCCTTTTCTTAGTAGATTTTGACTTCTTCCTTCCCCTTCTTATTTTCATTTTAAATTTTATTTTCCCTTTTCTTTGCCTTGTTTCTATTCCTTACTTATTATTTATCCTCCATCATTCCTCTCAAAATCATTTTTCTTTCCCTTAGTCATCTCATATTTTTTCTATTTTTCATAATATTCTTATTTTTCCAAATATATTTGCTTATATCATTGTTACAGCTATTGTTTTTTCATTGTTTTTAAATTTTCACTTTTTCTTTCAAATCTCATATTTTACTTTTACCTTGTCTTACTCCATTTTGCTTTCTCCCTTCCCTTTCTTATTTTTGTTTAAAATTTTATTTTTCCTCTTTCTTTGCCTTGTTTCTATTCCTTACTCTTATTCTCCTCCTTATATCCTCTCGAAATAATCTTTTCTTTCCTTTAGCTATCTTATATTCTTTTTTCTTCCTTATAATATTCTTATTCACTACTGACCTTTATTAATCTTTGACCATTTGTCCTTGATATTGTTGTATTGTTTCTTTCAATTTTGTTCCAATTTTTTACTATTTTAAAAAATTTCAGAGCTTCTATTTTGCTCTCCCATTGTCTTACTCCATTTTACCTTCTTCTTTCCCTTTCTTATTTGCATTTTAGATTTTGCTTTATCACTTTCTTAACCTTGATTCCGTTCCCAACTCTTACTGTTTTTCCTTCTACTCATTCAAAATCATGTTTCTTTCCCTTAGCCATCTCATATTCTTTTTTCCTTTATAATATTCATCTTCTCTTTCCACCTTTGGTGACCTTTGCTCATTTGTTGTTGATATTACAGTTCTTGTTGGGAGGGTAGTTTTGTTGATGTGGGTTGGTTTTCCATGTTTCTTTGTTTTGTTCTGTCAGCACCTATACAACAGCATACAAGATATGGTGAGAGAAAAGAGATGACAGCAAGATAGATGGGAGCAGTTCCCTGCTCACAAGTGGAACACTTAGCCAATCTTCTGAGGAACAACGTGAACAGAAAACAGTATTCCAGGATATATGAAGGTTGGAGGCCAAAATTGTAGAAGACATTGAAAAATCAAGTGGTAAGGAGATTGCTTTGGGACCATAAGGTCCTTGGGACCAGAGCAGGAACCAGGGTGGCTGTAGCCCCAGGCCCAGTGCCTGCAGGCAAGCTGCAGGATTCTTGGATGAAAGCCTTGTCAACTGTTCCTTTGCCTGCCAAACTGGGAGGTTTGAGCAGCATGAGGATGGACATGGATGCCTGAAGTCGCTGAGGGGAATAAACATGAAGTGGCAAACACACAGGGGCACAGGGGCAGTGTGCATCCACTGAGACTGTGGATGCTAGCTGGGTCATTACCAGAGAAACTGGGGAGTCAGGTGACACCTGCAGAAGGGAGAAGGATTGGGCCATGATGGACTCTGACCCGGATAGTCTCTAGTCTGGTTGGAAAGCTAGGCTGTGTGAGACCAGGCACTTGTTTGGAGTGGCAGTCTTGAATGCGAGAAATTTTTTTTTAATGCTCTAAATGGCTGTTTAAGCAATTGTCCCACAGCAGAAGTCTCCCACGGCAGCTGGCCTCACTGCCGGAGGCTGCACCCCTGCAGCCTCCACAGCCTCCTCTGTGGGTTGCCCCTGATAACTAGGACTGAGGCAGTGCCCCTACCTTACCCCAGCCCCAGCCCCAGCAGCAGAGAGTGCATGCTTGTGCCCACTGCCTCATGGGTCGCATGCACCAGACCCAGCTACTGGCGCAACTGTACCACCCACCCCTGTGGCAGCAACAACAGAGGCTGCACACTCTTGCCTCCAACACCAGAGGCACATGCCTTCGTCCACCACCACAGTCATGATAGCACCCCCACCCTGAGGGACAGGACTGCCTCGCTAAAACGAAGATGAGGCACCCCCTACAGAGGAGAGCAGCAGGACTCAGGAAGTCAGCAGTCCCCAGAAAGACAACTCAGTCGGGGAGCCGAACTACCCAGAAGAAACTTTGAGAGTCCCTAGCACCTAGGACAGCCAAGAGCAAGAAGGTGGTGTGTGAGTTGCCTCTAACTGGTGCACCTCAAGAACAGCACAACAGGTGGACTGAAGGTGTAGGCCTGATGCAGAAGGGCACTGGGGGCCCAGCAGTGAACTGAGGAACTTGGCTGGAGGCTGGGCAACTGTGAAGACTGTAGCTCAGACCTGGCTCTCATCTGCACAAAACCACAGAAAGGGAGAAAAGCAAAACCAATCACACCCTCAGCCTGCTGTAGCCAGGAAGACCAGCAGATCTCACCTGGCTGATTTAAATCCAGCAGGAGGCTTTTTTTAATCTTCCTACTTGTTTTCATTCTCTTTCCATGCTCCACAAAGGGAGACAATAAAACCTGGAGATGGGAAAGGGTCAGAAAAACACCAAAAGAGGGGTCAGCCCAACAATTGAGGCAGTGAGACAAATTTCACTTTGCTAATCAAGAGAACTTGAAAGTGATTGTTTATTTGTATTATTATTATTTTTGAATTATTTTTGCTTCTTTTATTTTATTAGTATTTCATTATTTCTCTTCTTTCTGTTTACTTGTCTTCGTTTTATTAGTTAAATTGCATCATTTCACTCATTTTCCTTGTTTTCTCTTTCACAGTGTACTTTTAATTTTCCTTCTCTCACTTCACTTGTGTTCCAATAGCACACTGCTATAGATCATGTACTTCCTATTCATGTTATTCAAATCACATAGATTCTGTCATATGATTGTTGCTCCATTGTTATAGTAAATGATTGTTGTTCCATACAATTGTAAATACTACACAGATCCCTCCTGGATCTTAGCTCATTTCACTGTCTTTCAGAAATTTATTACTGTTGTGGTTAACTCTATTCTCTCACACACTACATCTATTTTCTATCATCTACTCTCACTATATCTCATAATTGGACCTCCCACAAGCTCACTGTTTTCTGGATCCAACTCACAATCCACCCACACCCCCAACAAGAGTTTTACCTTTTTCTCACCCTTTCTAAAAAGTCACTAGTTGGCTGAAATATCACGGTTAACATTACGCTTATCCAAAGGATCTTCATTCTTTTCTCTACAGGTGGGTACTTTAAGTCCCATAGAATACACCCCCACTGTCTTAATCCATTTTGCCATCCCCTTCCAACTGATCACATAAAAGAGTAGGTGGGAGCTATGAACAACAGTATAGTCACTGGAACAGAGAACCCACCAGCAAAGGAACCAACAACGGATAATAAAAAAGGTGATGGAGTGAGTGGAAGCCACAGCAACCTCCGCCCAGGACCAATCTGGAAATACAACTAAACAGTGAGGAAATTACCCAGAAAGAACAACTGATCAATAGCGAGAGAGAAATTGTGAAATCTTGGACAGACAGAAGAAATAGCTTTAACACAATCTGTCTGCATATGCACAACAGAATACAAGACCTGGTGAGTGAAGTGACCCTCAGTTAAACAGGTGGAGGGAAGGACACACCAAAGAAGGATCCAACAACAATCAAAACCCAAAGACATACAGCCAGTCAACATAAACAACAGCCCAAGAGTAGCAAGTTCAGGAGATCAAAGAGACAGCACTACTGAATCTCACAGATCTCCCACCATAGAAGTTCACACCATAAACCCAGAAAGCAAGAACAGATCAGTTTAACAAGCAGAGGCTAACAAGAGGAGTCTTACAAACAATGGGAAGACAAAGAAACAATCCTCAAATGAAAGGAAAGATGGGAGCCTCAGAAAGAATGCTAAATGAAACAGAGGCAAATCAACTATCAGATATTGAGTTCAAAGTAATTGTTATAAGGAAGCTCAATGAGGTCACAGAGAATTACCAAAAAATACAAGGAAACTATAATGAACTCACTGCAAACTATATCGACATGAAAAAGGAAATAGAAACCATCAACAAGAGCGAAGAGGAAATGAAGAATACAATTTCTGAATTGAAGAACACAGCAGAAGGAATCAAAAGCAGGGTAGATGAAGCAGAGGATCAAATCAGTGAGCTGGAGAACAACGTAGGAAAAAAACCCCAGAAAGATCAAGAAAAGGAAAATATTCAGAAAGAATAAAGAGGTATTAAGGGAGCTGCAGGACAACATAAAATGGAATAACATCCACATCATAGGGATACCAGAAGGAGAAGATCAAGGGGTGGAAAACCTGCTTGAAAAGGTAATGATGGAAAATTTTCCTAATTTGATGAGAGAAAAAGTCACACAAATCCAGGAAACACAGAGAGTTCCAATCAAGAGGAACACAAAGAGGCTCACTCCCGGGCACATCATAATTAAAATGGCACAATTCCAAGACAAAGAAAGAATCATAAAGGCAACAAGGGAGAAACAGGAAGTAACAAACAAAGGAGCCCCAATAAGATTAGCAGCTGATTTTTCAATGGAAATGCTACAAGTCACAAGGGCATGGCAAGGAATATTCCAAGTAATGAAAACCAAAGGCCTACAACCAAGACTACCCTATCCAGCAAGGCTCTCAATTTAAATGGAAGGTGAAATAAGGATGTTCCTACACAAAAGAAGTCTTGAAGAATATACCTCCACCAATCCAGCTCTGCAAGGGCTGCTATAGGACTGCTTTAAGAAAAGGAAGAAAAAAAGAGTGAGAGAGAGAGGAACACAGGTACAAAAAATGGCAATGAATAAGGATATATCAATAATAACCTTAAACATAAATGGATTAAATGTTCCAATTAAAAGATATACAATAGCTGAATGGATAAGAAAGCATGACCCACACATATGCCTCCTACAAGAGACCCACCTTAGGACAAAGGGCCTACAAATACTGAAAGTGAAGAGCTGAAAACAAATATTCCAAGCAAGTGGATGGAAAAAGAAAGCCAAGTTGGCAATACTCATATCACACAAAATAGACTTCATAAAAGGGACCATAAAAAGAGACTCAGAAAGTCAATTCATAATACTCAATGGAAGAATCCATCAAGAACACATATACATAGTAAATATATATGCACCCAACATGTGAGCACCCAAATACATAAATAAAATTTTGGAGGACTTCAAGAAAGATATTGACAGCAACACAATTATAGTAGGGGATTTTAACACCCCGCTGTCAAAAATGGATAGATCCTCCAAATAAATATCAACAAATATATTGTGGCATTGAACAATGTCCTAGATCAAATGGACTTAAGTGAAATGTATAGAGCCTTTCATCCCAAAGAAGCTAAGTACACATTCTTTATAAATGCACATGATATATTTTCAAAGATAGACCACATGAAAGGACGCAAAACAAGCTTTGACAAACTCACAAAAATTAAAATCATATCAGGCATTTTCTCCAACCACAAAGGACTGAAGCTAGAAACTAACCTCAAGGAAAAAACTGCTAAACACTCAAACTCATGGAGATTGAATAGCATGCTATTAAACAATTAATGGGTCGAGAATGAGATGAAGGAAGAAATAAAAAGTTTCTGGAAACAAATGAAAATAAACTCACAACAACCCAAAACTTCTGGTACACATCAAAGGCAGCCCTGAGAGGGTAGTTCATATCATTACAGGCCTGCCTAAAAAAATAAAATAATTTTAAATAAACAACCTAACACTACACCTAGAAGAACTCAAGGAACAACAACAAAGACAGTCCAGAGCAAGTAGAAGGAATGAAATAACCAAGATCAGAGCAGAATTAAATGACAGAGACTAAAAGCACAATTCTAAAAATCAATAAATCCAGCACCTGGTTCTTTGAAAAGATAAACAAAATCAACAAGCCTTTAAGCTGACTCATCAAGAAAAAAAGAGAGAGGACTCAAATAAACAGCATCAGAAATGAAGAGGAGAGACTACAACTAATACTACAGAAATACTAAGAATTGTAAGAAATTACTACAAAGAACTATATGCCAAGAACATGTGTGTTCATTAATGATGTTGGCCTGGAGTATTCTTTCATCGTTATATCTTTATCTGGTTTGGGGTTTAGGATGGAGCTGGCTTCATTAATAGAGTTTGGGAGTCTTGCATCTTCTTGGGGTTTTGGGTTTGAAAACCTAGGTGAAATGGACAAATTTCTAGAAAAATATAATGTTCCAAACCTGAATGAAGAAGAAGCAGAAAGCCTGAACAGACCAATAACAGCTGACAAAATTGAAGCAGTAATCAAAAAACTTCTGACACACAAAAGCCCTGGACCAGATGGTTTCACAAGAGAATTCTACAAAGCAGTTAGTGATGAACTAACCCCTATCCCTCACAGACTATTCCCAAAACCCCAAGAAGATGCAAGACTCCCGAACTCTATTAATGAAGCCAGCTTCATCCTAAACCCCAAACCAGATAAAGATATAACGACGAAAGAATACTCCAGGCCAACATCGTTAATGAACACACATGTTAAAATCCTCAACAAAATATTGGCAAATCACATCTGGCGATATGTTAAAAATATCATAAAACATGACCAAGTGGGATTCATCCCCAGGATGCAAGGATGGTACAATATTCACAAATCAATCAATATAATAAATACATCACATAAACAAAATGAAAGACAAAAACCACATGATCATAGGAATAGATACAGAAAAAGCATTTGAAAAGGTACAGCACTCATTTATGATAAAAACACTCAGCAAAGTGGGGAAAGAAGGATCATTCCTCAACATAAAAAAGGCCATATACAAGAGATGTACCGCCAATATCACAGTCGATGGGCAAACACTTAAGCTTTCCCACTAAGATTAGGAGCAAGACAAGGATGTCTGCTTTCACCACTCCTATTCAACATAGTACTGGATGTCTTAGGCACAGCAATTAGACAAGAAAAGGAAATAAATGGCATCCAAATTGGAAAGGAGGAAGCAAAACTGTCATGTTTGCAGATGACATAATAGTGTAGATAGAAAATCCTACAGGCTCCACCAAAAAAACTACTTCACCTAATAAGTGGTGTGCAAAGTCAATATTCAGAAATCAAAGGCATTTTTGTACACCAATACTGAAATATCAGGAAAAAATTTCATTTGATATAGCAACAAGAAAAATAAAATATCTAGGAAGAAACATAATCAAGGATGTAAATGACCTGTACTCAGAAATGTACACAACACTGAACAAAGAAATTAAGGAAGGCACAAACAAAGGGAAGCATGTACCATGCTCATGGATTGGAAGAATTAAATTAACATCATCAAAATTTCCATACTACCCAAAGCAATCAGTACATTCAATGCAATCCTTTTTAAGTACCAATGACATATTTCACAGATACAGAACAAACATTTCAAAAATATATATGGAACCATAAACAACCCCAAATAGCTGCAGCAATTTTGAGAAAGAAGAGCCAAGTGGGAGGGATCACAA